AATGAATTTTTAATTTTAATGAAATAATCAACTATGGCTGCAGGATTCTTTAAAAAGTTATGGGATAAAGTAAAAAGAGGAGCGCATAAAGTTTGGGAAGGGATTAAGAAAGGAGCAAATTGGATATTTAAGAATAAAGAAGCAATTAGTGACGTTGCTGAACAAATAGCACCTAATGTTCCGGTAAGGGAAGTATTAAATAAAGGAGATAAAGTTTATCAAAGACTACAACCAATATTGAGATAAAAATAATATTTATTTATTTTTCCACTATTTACCCCCTATTTTATTAAGTATTCCTTCAGCAATTCCACCAACTGCGTTACCTGCTTGTGCTCCCATCGCTGGATTACCTGCTTTAGCACCTAATACTCCTCCTATGATAGTTCCTGCCGTTTTCGCTACTGGTGCCAAAAAGTTTGCAACAGGTTTAATAACCTTTTTATAAACCCAACCTGCAGCTTTCTTAATTCCATCCCATAATTTTTTAAAGAATCCTGCCGCCATTTCTGATTTAATATTAATTAAAAAATATATTTCATCACTTATATTCTAATTTTTTATTTAATGATAAATGAAACCGATTTTAAAAATAAATGAAACAGAGGAGGAAGAAATAAATGAAAGTGAAAATGTTCAACAAAAAATAAACGTTGTTAAACCAATTACTGAAATAAAAATTTTTTCATCTGTTGATGAATTTAATGACTATTATGCTAATAATAAAAAATTATTTGAAGAATTGACAACATGTAAATTGAATAAAATGTTTAAAGTTGAGGACAGAGTCCAAGACCCAGAGGGTCATGGATTCAAAATTTCAAAAATAAAAGGTGTTGTTAGTTTAAAATCTATTCCTCAATCAAGAATCACCTCATTAATGAAAATAGATGATTTAACAAAAAGAATAGAAATTATTGAAGAGCGAATGAATCAAATAATTGATTTCATAAATTCAAATAATCATTAGCTTATTTAAAGTTCATTGTTGAACTCATCAAATTCTTTTTCTCGTTTTATTTTTAAAGTTTATTTTTCATTCATGAATGATAATTATATCTGATTTCTTTTACTCTCTCATACATACTAGATTTAAAGAATTCAGAACTTTTACCATAATCTCCTAAATGTTTTCTTATCCCCAACGTGTGCCAGTTATTATATGAAACTGAATAAACTTTATCTTTATCTTTACACCTTTCATCACTTCCAATATATTTATATCTCAGTTTTGATTTAGCATTTTCATATTCATTAGCGTTTAATAATTCGCAGTCTTCCTTTTTAAATTGATGTTTAAGATATTCAGGATTTAATACTCTACGTTTATATGCTCCTAACTTAGTTCTAAAGGTTTTTCTACAAAATTTAGGAATTCCATCCTCTTTAATGTCATCAATGATTTCCATTTCATTATTTTCAATTTCTTCTTCTCGTTTATGAGGTCTTTGATTATGACTCCATTGATTCCATGAAATTAAATATTCTTTATCATTATATTTATACCTCATTAGCTTATTTTGGCTTTCATATTCATTTAATAATTCACAATCTTCATTTTTAAATTGAAGTTTAACCCATTCAGGATTTAAACAATGTTTAATTAATCGCGGAATATCTGACATCATCTATATATAGTTTCTTTTATAAAAGATAAAAAATAAATTATTTTAAAATTAATGTTAATTTTTTTAATGATTTATAAATAAATATATTTTAATGCATCATCTATATATAGATGATACAAAAAAAGTCACACAACCCGCACTCATATACTACTCACATATTTTCTGTATTTTGGAAAAAATTTGGAAAAATTCGTGGAGTCAGCAATAATTTACTTATTTGTAACAACTGAATGGATTACCTTACCATGTCTTTTTATTCCCAATTTCGTTGTATATTTAGACAACTTATTTGTAACTCAAAATGTCCCAGTTCTATTAAAAGGTGTGAGATAACACAATCAAAACATTACAATCAAACCACATTTTTATTACACATTTACAAATATCCTTCAGTAAATTAGTATTTATACCCTTAAAAAGTATTTATACTCCATAGAACCGCAAAAATAAAGATATATGCATACAGTTGAAATGCTGATGCCAAAACTTTATCAAGGTTATGATTTTATTAGCATTATTTTTATTCATTTTTAATAAATCCAAAGTCTCATAAGAGATCTCAGTTTTACTTATGATAATATATATAAGCGTATGCAACTCTTTCTAAATAAAACTTCAAATAACGATAAACGTTTCATATATGTAAAATACTATCATAGGCAATATGCCATTCCATCACAGATTATGTAGTTAGTGAGATATTGTGAGATTTTAGAATTTCAATAGCTTCGCTTTGAACCTCTTCAGTTTTCTCACCATCAGTAGGAGTTATTGCAATTCTTTTAATAGGTTCTAATACTTTTTGAAAGTTTTGGTCGTTAAAATCTTTTATAATTACGTTTATAATCCAGTATTTCCAAACGTCATCTTTTTGTTCAGGTTGAAGGATTTGAATTAAGTTCTGAACTATTATGTCTTGATGTTTTAAGAGAATTGGGATAATACTACTTGCAATTGGCCAATTAATATCTTGTATCCATTCCAATAGATCAGGGATGATTTGTATTATCTCTTCAGACAATAAATCATTTAATTTGTCAACATTCGAATCATCAAATTTATTTTTTGGAACTAGATATTTCAAATTCATTGAATTATAATGTCAAATTTATTGAAATAATTTGAAATAACTTTCTAGTTGAATAGCATTTGGATAAGTAACAAACTTAAACATGTGCAGATTAATTATTACATCTGATCACTAAGGGAGCTGAGAAGCAGGAAAATCACTGATTTATGAAATTTCAAATTTCATAAAAAAAAAGTTCATTATAAAAATTGCATGTGTATACAGTACTTCATATCCTTCAGTAAATTACATTTGCCTTAAAAATCAGTAAAATATCGCTTTGGAACTGAGATGAATTTTAAAAATGATTCAAAAAAAAAAAAAAACGAAATTATAAGATCTTCAACCCACAAAATTAGAAATGTTTGTCTATTGCTTTGACCCAAAATAATGAATGGCACTTTTATGCGAAAACCTCCTTGTTCAAACAATTTTCAAAATTGTGAAACATGATTTTTGGTCCATAGATAAATACTGAATTAAGTCCAATAAATTCAAAATTTAAAGCACGTTTTGAATTTTCTAGTTTCGACACTTCATTATTTAGATTTCGAATGATATGTAAAATTATTTTATTTGAAAATTGAATGAATATCGTATTTTTTGAAAACTATTGAATTTCATTTAATAAAACTGAATTACTAATTGATTTAGATAAAGAAAAACTTTACAAAAAACAATTGTGGTAATAAGGATGTCAATTTGGAAGAAAAGTGAGAAAATTCCTAAAATGCTAAAAATGAATTTCCAAACGTATTTTTTTATCTCATTTTTTTGATTTTGAAAAAAATTTGGAGAGAAGATCTCTTCGTTTTTGAATTTTATCACGATGGTTTTAAAGTATATTAGACACATGTATTGATATTACTATTTTTGTATATTTTGAGAGAAAATCCCCAAAAAGTAAGAAAATCTAAGACGGTTTGAGAAAATATATAAACTATTGAAAATTTGAATTAAACTTCTAATTTGGAAAAAAGAAATTTGGAAAGAAGAAAATTCAAAAATCGAGATTTAGACTCAGCATCAAATGGAGAACAAAATGTTTGTTGTAAACAGAAATTCATCAAAAGTGACACCTCAGAAAAGCTAAAATATTGAATTTTTGGAACTTTTGATAGAGCACGTTTTTAAATATTAATTAAAGTAAATGTATATTTTGTAAAGATTCTTTTTAATAAAAAAATAAAATTTTGAAGAAGAACACAAAATCTTCTGAAAAATAATATCACATAAACTCATATTATTTTCTAATATATAACAAAAAAAAAAAAAAAAAAAAAAAAGGTAGTGGGGCTTCCAGGCACTTCGTGCCTTCTAGCCCTGATGATGTTTAGTAAAAAATGAAGTTTTTATTCGGAAAAATTGTTAGTCTTCTGGGTCGAAAACATTATATATAATGTGTCGCTTTTCACAAATTATATATGTTTTCATGTTTTGTCAAACATGAACGTACATGTTTTGTCAAGACTTCTTCGTAAATGTTTTGTCAAGACTTCTTCGTAAATGTTTTGTCAAGACTTCTTCGTAAATGTTTTGTCAAGACTTCTTCGTAAAATCAGACAAAAATAAAGTTTAGGGTAGAAGGTTAGATCTAACCTGTTTTCTAACCTCTTTTCTACCCTCATGAATTTTCATGATTTCTTCGTACATGTTTTGTGAAGACTTCTTCGTACATGTTTTGTCAAGACTTCTTCGTAAAATCAGACAAAAATATATTTTAGGTGAAGAGGTGAGATCTCACCTGTTTTCTCACCTGTTTTCTCACCTCTTGAATTTTCATGATTTCATCGTAAATGTTTTGTCAAGACTTCTTCGTAAATGTTTTGTCAAGACTTCTTCGTAAATGTTTTGTCAAGACTTCTTCGTAAATGTTTTGTCAAGACTTCTTCGTAAATGTTTTGTCAAGACTTCTTCGTAAAATGTTTTGTCAAGACTTCTTCGTAAAATGTCTTGTCAAGACTTCTTCGTAAAATGTTTTGTCAAGACTTCTTCGTAAAATGTTTTGTCAAGACTTCTTCGTAAAATGTTTTGTCAAGACTTCTTCGTAAAATGTTTTGTCAAGACTTCTTCGTAATGAGTGTAAATGACCAAAAATATAATTTAGGGTAGAAGGTTAGATCTAACCTCTTTTCTAACCTCTTTTCTACCCTCTTGAATTTGTCATGATTTCTTCGTCATAGGCACGGAGATAGGACGGTTATTTTACAAAACTGACAACACTTTGACCGAGTAGTTTTTTGTGCTGAACAAAAAGTGTCATATAAACATCTGTCAAAAACCGCTTTTTAACTTCACTTAAAATGCCACGTAAGCTACGTAAGAATATACGTAAGAGGAAGGGAGCATTGAAACATCCAATAGTAAAACTAACACCACAACAACAGTTGCAACAACAAATGATGAATGACCCCACTATGTTGCAACAAATGTCAAGCAACCCTATGCTTTTAAACCGAGTTATTGGTGCACAGAGTGGAGGTTTAAGAGCGGCACTTTTAGCGAAAATGGCAGGCTATGGTGGAGCTGCAGACGGAACAGCTTATAACCCTCAAAGTCAAATGAATTTGAGTTCACTCAAAAATCAAATAACAGATGTCAAAAAGTCAAACATAGACATACAGAAACAAATAAGTGAAAACGAAAAGAAACTAGAATATGACAGACACACAAAGAAACTCAATGAGTTAAACGTAGAGAAAAAGAAGAAAGAAGAACAACTGAAAGAACTAAGTACAGAGGAATATGCAAAAAAAGTGTCAGAAAAAGCAGCAGAAGTAGCAAAAATGGAACAAGATGTTATAAATTTGAAAAACCATACTACTCAATATAAAGTACTGAAAGATGAAGAAATAAAACAAAAAGCCCTGAAGACATATATGGATAGCGATGAGTATAAAAAAGAAGTTGAAGCAAATGTAAAGGCAGAAAAACTTTTACAGTTGCAAAACCAAACCGTACAGTATGAAAACTTAGCACAAGAAAGTAAAAATAACGACGCAGCCATGCAAAAGGCAATGAAAAGCGCAGAATATATAAAAGCTAATAATGACTGGTTAGATGCCCAAGCCAACGCCAAAGCAGCCCAACTTATAGGGTCAATAAGGACAAAAATACAAGCGGATGAAGACAGTTCAAATGAAGCTTTAATGAATGCTGACTTAAGAACGCCTTCGAAGCTCTTCATAGTAAGGTGAAACTAGTGAACGACTTCTCATCTGGAAAGAAACTGAAGTCTGAAGGTTCGACAACGAGTTAAGAGAAGTAGCACAAAATATGACGAAAATAACAGATGCAGCAACGAGACAGGCAGTTCAAAGTGCCTATGACGCCGTTAGAGCAACTGTTGTGGAAAGTCAAGAAAAAGAGTTACAACAGACCAAAACAGACCTAGTAAATGCTTTCTTAAAAACGAAAAAGTCAGGTAGGACATTATGCTGCAGATGGAACATATGTGCCAGCTGGTGGAACTTATATACCACCAAACCCTCCAAGAGAAGCACCTGCACCAGGACTACTAAAACATTTACATCGTCACATGGACACAGACACAGGCATGCACCAAAACAACAACCAACAGTTCAAAATCCAGCACCCAACACAACAGTTCAAAATCCAGCACCACAACCAACAGTTCAAAACACTGCACAACAACAACCACAAAACAGAGCAAGGACATAAAGAAGTAGAGAACAAGGAAACCAAGAATTCTTAAAAATGCTTAAGGAAAATTATGGTTACCCAGATACTCTTGACTTTATGTGACAGATATAAAGAAGCTATTAGAAAGTTCAAGGAAGGAAATACTGACCCGAACCTATTTAGCTTTATGGTTCAGCACCAAATGGGATATAATTTCAAACCTGGAAAATACAAGCTCGCTAAGGGATATGATTTAATAGCATATCATCCAAATGACATGACTGAATTTACTCCAAGATATTTGGTGTCAGAGCTAAACGATAATTCAACTCTCTTCATGAAACGCGTAAAAATAGAGACGGAACGAAAGAAGAAAGGTTTATGAGTCCGGATGACTTAGATAGGGAACTTTTTAAAAAACGGTCTCGGAATATATGAAATGCCAGCAGATGAGGTACAAAGAAACTCCACAGGAAGAAGTTCAGATACAACCAACATGGAAGAAATAGTTCAGCAACAACAGCTAGAAGAGCCTGAAGGAAACAAACAAGTCCTCCTTTGGAAACTAACTTCACAGAACTAGATGAAGATTTGGAACAGCCGAAAAATCTTGACCTCTAACAAGAGTATGCGGAGAATATGGAATCTTTCCAAGAGTCTAAGAAAAAATTCGGCTGACATAGTAGAAGAATATCGAAAAATGTTCGCCGACATACAAAAGACTCCAACATCAGATGAAAATATCCAGCATAGAATGGGAAGAACTGAAAGAAAGTGTACGCAAATACAACAATCCTTTTTACTTACGAGCATATAACGTTCAATCTTTGGATGAACTCGGTGAAAATAAAAGGTTAAATTTCAACAAAACATATAGAAATGAACATTGTTTAAAGTTCATTCAGAACCTAGCCAATATGGAAACAAACCTACTTTTGTTTCTGCAGACGATGGAACTACAATGAGATGGGGTCATAAAGCTAATCCGGATAGGTGGTTCATAAACTTACAACCACAATTCCAAGAAGTTGTAGACGCAATGGAAGTGAATGGTGAACCAGATGTAGCTGGTATTTTCAGCGCGGCTTTAAATGCCATTGAAAGATATGAAAGATGCAGATATTTTGACCAGTATGAAATGAACATGGCTGATGGAAATATAACACCTGACGTTCTAGAACATTTATCTCAAAGAACTACACAGAACCATAGAGATGGTATATTTGGTGAAGAGTTTTAGAAAGAAAGTTAGGGAGAGAGAAGGAAGAGAACCTATTGTACATGACCTTGCAAACGAAAGTTTGCAAAATGTCATAAAACTTACTTTGCAGACAATGAACCGAGAAGGGTGAATATTTAAGAAAACTCAAATGGACGTACCAAATGAAATGTTAGTATTGAAAAACATGTTCCTTGACAAAATAAAACCAACTACAGAAATAAATGACGCAAGACTGAAACATTGGGTAAAAGCTTTCCCATTCACAAAAGATATTATTGGTAACATGGAAAGAAAACCAGAATGGCTACAAAAACATATATTTGGAAACGAGCTTATTCCATATGGACAAGCTCTGTTTGAAGAGCTTGAACCGGAAACTCAGGAAAGAGTCATGCAAACAATACGCGAAGCTCTACAAACTATGACAAATCTTTCTAGGATATAGTTTACCTGAGTTGGCGACCAGAGCCCAAAGGCAAAAAGGACATGGGAAATTTACAACATACTAGGTGAACATGAGGCAAAGATGCAACAACTTGAAGCAGAGGGCAAGTTACCAAAAGCGACACCAAAGAAGAAGAGTAGAACAAAGTAAAGCTTGGTACGAGTGGGTTCTATTATGATATATAAATCCAACTATTCTATATTTTTACCCATATGAAATGTACGCCGCTCAGAATATAACGCCAACAGTTTTGGATGCTATGAACGGAAATGTTTCCGAATGGTATAACGAATGCGACAATGCCATTAGAAGGTCAGAAATAGTTCCTGGAACTTACGAATATACAACTGCTGTTTCTTATGGAAACGTAGGTGAGTTTGGAGAAGGTTCTTCAACAACAGTAGATATTGCTTGCGACAGGTTTCATATTATTTCTATTGACAACTCATTCTTATACGTGGAACAAGACATTGAAATAAAACCTTCTGCCAAGTTGTCTGACAAGAAAGGTTGCAATGGAATTTTCTATGTCGGATACCAATATGCTCCAGAAGTTTTCATGGGATATAAGATATATTCTAACTCTGACTTAGTTCAAACAGTAACATGGGCAAACTATGAATGGTTCGCTTTGAGAAACTCAGTACAACCACAAGCTAGAGAACAAACAGACCAGTATGCAAATATTGAGAAAATAAGAAGACTTGACCCTAACGTTCCAGGAGTTTATGTTAACCTTTCTGGTTCAGATGGAACTGCTGCCACTAAAGTAAAACTGAAACTTAGAGTTCCTTTGTCATCTTTCCTCATCTTCAGGTTTTTAAGATACTTGCCAAACTGGGCAGGAAAAATTTCTATCGAACTTACTCCAAGCAAAAATAACTTAGTCATTGCACCAACACAAGACCCATTCACTCTTACAGACGTAATAGGAACAAATAAAACATCATTCGCCGACTTTTGCAAAGACAAAGTTGACTTAGACTTTGGTTTTCAAACTTCAACAATGAAGTAAACTATTATTTCAATGCTGCTGGGACTGCTTGGACCCAGTTAAGTTCACATGCGAAAAATTTGAATGCAAGAGAATAGAAAGCAGACTTGCAGTCTATATGTTGGACCCAGATATTTCAAATGCTTTAGCTGCCAAATATATTGCAGTTCCACTTATGTTCCCTATACACCAAATATCTGTCAAAGACTTTGCAGGTGAAGTTGGAAACCAAAGTGCTGACCCAGGTGCAAGAACAGATATTGCTTTAACAACTGCAATGAAACATGCAGATACTATGTTTGTACTGTTCAGACGAACTATAAATGACTATTCTTGTTTCTACAACCCCGGTATTAAATATCATATAAAATAGATGGCAAATATTATCCAAGAGAAGAATATTCTACAGTTGAGGATATGAGGTCATACAACTTGACATTAGATGCTATGAACTTTAACAACAACTTCACAACAACCATTAACCCTGAAATGCAAAGTTCTATTATGCCATATGTGAAAGTATGGACTCATACAGGAGGTCAAAAAACTCAATATACAAATGGAGACCGTTCAAACTTTTGGCTTGGCATTCCATTTGCTGACTCAGAAGACTTTATGGGTGGTATTTCAACTGTTGGTACTGTGTACAAATACAATATACTGGTGACAGAGACGGTCCAGATGAACTGAGAGCAAAGAAGTTTACAAAACCAATAGCACTTTTCACGGAAGATGCTCTTTTGAAGATTCGTTCGATGAAACCTGCTGGGGCTCCTCAGATTGGCATAACGACAGCTTCCATCGAGCAGATTTTGGCAGCAGGTCAGTAAGTTGTTCTTGAACTGACTTCTCTCCGTCAAATATTGACAGTACGCCAGTTTTGACATAATATTGTAAGATAAACTTTCCTTTAGAAATATCTGTAAGTTTTGAAGTTATATTTTTGTCAACGTTCAAGAACTTTCACCATTTCAGTTATACCAACTTTCTTTGCTTTATGAAAATATTTTGGTTCAGCAAATATTGCTATTCTATAACATTTACCATTGTTTGTATAAAGAACTATTCTGTCAATGTATTTTGTATTGTTTGTGTGTGTAAACTTTGTTCTGCTTCAATTCGAAGAGATACTCGAATACGTCCATCTTTTTATTCTAAGTAAAATGTCATTTCCGAAAAATAGAAGCATAAGTGTTTCAAAAGGTTTAATGGCGGTGGCAGATGTGAAGTTAAATTCACCAACTCAAACAAACAGTCAAAGTGTTGTTGTCAATGTCAAAGACAGAGATGTTGAAGTGGGGAAACCATACGAGGACGAAGATGGTATAACAATTGTTCCTGTAAAAGAACAACCAACATATCCTGAAGTTAGCAGAGACTTAAGTTCTGTTGCAGATATTCGAAACGACTACCAACAACTGAAAGACAAACTTCAAACTCAGGAGAAGATTTGTCAAGCTTTAAGTATAATGTTAAACTTGGTCGAACACAACCCTGTAAAAGTGAACTCATATGTCATTGCACCTCATGAAGTTTTGAAAGAACTATTGAAACTTTTGACAGAGGCAGACGATATAAACATCAAAGAAATAGAACCCGACATTAGTTGCTGTGGTGTTTCATATAATGTCATTGACAAGATATACGTTATGAAAGGAGGTGAAACGTTGAACTTAAAGTATAGTTTCCCAGACGTCATAAAAATATTTGACGACCACAACATTTCATTAAAATTTATTTGCTAAGTAAAAATGTCAAAACTTCTTGAAAGATGTTTGAAGAAAATAATATAGACTTTATTTCATGTAAAGGACTTTACACACTTTTGAACGATATGAAAGACCCTGTTTTGTTTGTTCGTGTAGACAAAGGAAAGTTCTATGTCTTTACAAAATATTTGAACTTCTTAGACAGAGAACTTCAAGAAACGCCATGTGAAAGTTTAGATGAAGTTCTTCTCCACTTTCAGAAAAACTTTTAAATATATATATAAATGGCAGAAGATATAATGGTTTATACTATTACGACTAAAAACCCTGGTCATATAATTCTATAACAACAAACTTACAAAGTCCTCAAGGACGGTATTGTAAACTAACTTAAACACAATGACGACTAAAGCCTGTTTTGCTCTTTTGACACCAGAAGACTTTATTGTTGTGAATGGTAAAAAATACTCCTTTGAAGATACTTACTCAGATATACCACCAACAGGTTTTGTTGACTTATTTAATACTTTAAGGACGGGTGTAACATGTGCTGCAACTAGAGCAGGTTTCATTATGTTTGGATGTCCGACTGAGTTTACTATAAACATATGAGCTATAATACAAAACTTATTTCTGGTTTTTACTACCAACAGTTTCCTATAACAGGAAAAGGTGTCATACAAGGAATGTCTATTCCATTGACTTTAAGTACACCTATTTATATATTGTTTCAAACTTAGGTTCAAAGTGTTATTCGAATGTCGACAGAAACTATTATGACCAAAAGATACTTATGCGTATAAACAATACTTTCTCTGCTGGTTTGCCTATTGTTCATTCGAATGCAGAATTTTCAACCTTAGTGAACTCAAACACTTTGGCAAGTATAACGTTGACATTAGTTGACGCAAACTTTGTTCCTGTAAAACTTTTATGTCCTATGTATTTGTCAATGACGGCAGAAAGTTTCGAATTGGAAGATGCAACTGGTGAAAGTATTGTATTACAAGAACAACTTCAACAACAAATAGCTCAAGAACAACAAATGGAACAAATGCAACAACAAAGTCAAGAATAAAAAAAAATATTTTTTTATTTTTATAAAAATGTACAGAATAGATGTTTCAGATTTTTATGACTTCCAAGCATTCAGAAATATGTGTCCATTTAGAGACTATAACAAAGCAGTCGAGAATTTGAAACGTTTAGTCATTTATGTTGACTCTGCCCCAGAATGTTATGTTATGAAAGAATGGGATGTTGTCTTTAACAAACCAAGAGCAACAATAGTGTCTGAACAAGAATGTAGACAGAAACTTAAGAAAATAAAAGTTGTACAAGTTGGTATGAAGATGTTAGATGCTTGGGATATCTTATTGTCAAAACTTGAAGATTTTTCAGTTCGTGGTATAAAGTTTTATACACCTTCTCCAAACTTCTATTCTATCTTCACTGGATATAAATACGAACAAGTAGAATGGAAAGAAAATATTATAGAAGCTTGGTTAGACCATGTCAAAGAAATTATATGCAATGGAAACGAAAAGGTTTATGAGTATATCTTATGTTGGTTTGCAAACATCTTACAACATCCAAGTGCTAAAAATGAAACTGCTCTCATTATAATTGGAAAACAAGGAACTGGTAAGAATACTTTCTTTACAGATATCTTGTGCAAACTGTTAGAAGGTTATTCGAACCCTAATATGACAAACTTAGAAAACATCTGTGGCAAGTTTAACTCCTCAATAGAGAATATGAAACTTATAGTTTGCAATGAACTTCAAAGTATAGATACAACAAAAGTTTTAAACTCAGATGCTTTGAAGAGTCTTATAACAGACAAAGTTGGAGTTGTTGAAAGAAAATATAAAGACCAAAGAGTTTGTGAAAATGTTGCAAACTTCATTATGGTTTCAAACAATGCTGTTCCGATGAAGTTAGAAAGTTCTGACAGAAGATATGTAGTTGTCAGAACGTCAGATTCTCATATGCAAGATACAGAATATTTTGACGACTTAGCAGAAACTTTGACATCTGACTTTTACAACCACTTGTTCTCATATTTTATGACATTAGATATTTCAAAGTTCAATCCAAGACAAATTCCACATACCGAAGAGAGACAAACATTGTTAGAAGCAAACAAGAGTGTATATGAACTGTTCATAGATGAAACTGACTTTGTGTCATTAGATGAAAGGTCATTGTACGATTCGTATAAACAATATTGTCAAGAATATGGTTATATGACAGCTTCTAAACGAACATTCTTGGCAAATGTCAAAAGTCTTTTAGACGTACAGAATGGTGTATATACAAAGAAAAATTTTTATGAGTAAATTTTAAAAAAAATATTTTTTTATCCGATAGAAAAGATGACAAAATTCATCTCAGTAAACAAGTACATGTCAGGACTTAAAGAAGAACTAGACCCATTCACATATTTGAATGTTTACTTCTACCATTTTGAAAAGTCTTCATTCAGCAAAGTTTGGAACATCGAACCAGTTAAGTTTGCTATTGTGACTAAAAATGGTGCGAAATTTGAAGACTTAGACATAGAAGGTTTGTTAACAGTCAAAGAAAGTTTTGACAGAAGGTTCTCAAACCTTAAAGAAGGCAAAGCATACAAACTTGTTATACCTTATGAACCAAAGAAAGCAGACGACTATGAATATTATGAGTCTAAGATAGTTGAAGTTCAAGGTAAATTGGGTAAAAAGATTTTAGAGTCTAAGCCAGTGTTTGCCCCTAAAGAGGAAGAGAACATTGACATTGACCCAGAAATGTTCTAAAAATAAAATTTTATTTTTACATGTCAAATTTCTTTTTCTCTGGAACTGGTTCAGGTTCTTTCTTCTCTTCTTCTACTTTCTTTTCTTTCTTTTCTTTCTTCTTCTTTTCTGGTGGAGTTATGTCAAATTTGGCGCAACTATATTTATGTAAAAGTTCTTTGTCCTTTAATAGCTCTTCTATTCTGTTTTCTATTTCATCTTCAAGAACAGCGCATGTGTCTTCTTTGCATTCTAAGAAGTTTTGTTGGACTTCATCTCTCCAAGAGGCGTCATCTCTGTCAACAAGTCTGTCATTGACAAATTTTAAGACTGCTCTGCTTAATGTTTTATGGTTCTTGTCATATTCCCAGAAACAGAACTTTAGAACAAACTCACCTTTCTTGTTTACACTATGTAAGATTTTATGGTCGACAGATGTTTTGCTGTCGAAAAGTTTGTCTCGAATATAGATAGCGAAATCGCTAGACATTTTCTAAAAGATAAAAATTTTAATTTTTCTAAAAATATGTTAGAAAAAAAGTTTGCTGACATTGACAAGAAATTTGAGAATGTTTTAAATAAGAACAAGAGAAAGTTAGAAAATGCTCAGATAAAGCCTATACATGAAAAGTTCTTATTTGCTCAGAATGGTATAACAGGTCTAATTGCACCACCTGGGTCGGGTAAGACTTTCACTTATCTTAAAATGGCTGCACAACAACAAGAACTAGATGAGAAGAACCCATTCTATGAGTTAGTTGTTATTTGTAGTACTTCTGGTCAATTTGACCAAACCGTCAATTCGTTCAAAGATATTATAAAGAAGTCTAAGTTAGTATGTATAAAGGATACTGAGTTGTTAGATTGGATAAAGAAGTACCAAAGAAGAGTTTTGAAGTATAATGCTATAAATGAGTATATAAATTCTAAGTTTAAAGACCCAAATGAGGAAATGCAGAGAATATTAGAGAAGAAACACTTCAGAAACAAACAGAAAGAGATAGAATACATTTCGAAGAAATTGCAATCTTACGATTGGAAGACATACCCTCATAGATGTCTTCTTATCTTAGATGATTTCGCCTCTCATCCTTTGTTAAAGAACAGAGAACAAGATATGTGTCGAATTCTTAAGAAGCTCAGACACTTTAACATCTCAGTCGTAATATGTGTACAGACAGCAAAGAGTTTAAGTAAGGATGTTAAAAGAATACTTACTGACATTATACTTTTCCCCGGATTGTCCGAAGACGATTTCATGGAACTTATGAAAGAGTCCATGGCAGGTAAGTTTGACAGACATGAACTATGGGAGAAGTACAAAGTCATACAAGACCCTCATACTTCTTTCAGAATTCATATCTACGCAAACAAAGTTCAAATTGTAAAAAGTCAATAAAAATAAAGAGTTCATTTACTCTGCTTGTTTGAAGTTGTCAAAATACTCTGTTATTTTTTCTTTCAGTAGCGGTAAGTCTTCTTTGAAGGTAAGTATTGTACAACCTTTCATATCATAGTGTGTTTGAGGTAACGTATCTTGAACTATTTGTTTCACATCTTCATTCGGTGTCATTGAAATCGGTAAGTTTTCGCGATAGAACCAATTTCTGTCAGATTTGTAAATCTTAGCAAGGTCGTAAAAGCTTTTGTTGTTTCTTCTGACTAAATGCAACATAACCATATCTCTGTCTTCTTCATTTTCCATCTCTTCAGTATAAATCATATACTTATAGTTCTTTTCCTTTCCTTTTGGTACCGAACGTGGTATTCTTTTCTGAATGCTTTTGTCTTTTGCTTCAAGCTTGTTCTCTAGCTCTTCACGTTCTTGTCTATGAATTTCGTCAAGAAGTCTGTAAATATACCAAGCATAACGAGGCGAAGCCCACATTGCAACAGCATTTACAAGAAGTCTATGTACATAATATCCTCTCAAACCGTTTGGCAATTTTTCACGATTTTCATAGAGTTTTGGCGACTGGGGTTTTTTACTTACTCGCTGTTCTTCACTGTTTTCATAGAGTTTTGGCGACTGCGGTTTTTTACTTACTCGAGTTTTTGCGACTACGAAAAAATCCGTAGTCGAATTTTCAGCTTCATTTAATAGTTCAATAGTGCTTTGGTTCCTAAACCAGTCTTGTGGTTTCTTAGTATCTGGAGCAAAACATGCTGTCAAAATACTTTGCATTTGGTACATATCGTCTTTGACCGAACGAATGAGACGGAGTTGTTTGTTAAACTGTATGTACTCGTATTCTTCATTTATAGCTTCATGAACGATAGCAGTTGTTGTGTTCTCTGTTGTTGACATTACTGTCTTTACATACAAAATAAAAAAATATTTTATAAAAAATTAGCGTTATTTTCTGACTTTCACAAAAGACCAAAAATAAACGCTTTACATGTATTTTTCAGCAACTTCGTCAAATAATTTTATAGCTTTATCTATCTCATCTACTTCAAACGTTTCTTTACCTTTCGTGGGAGCACCATACATTTTCTCAAACTTTTCAAGTAGTTCTGTTTCTGCAGCTCTCATATCATTAACAAACACAACCTTGACTCTATTGACTGTACTGTCATATCTTTGAGTTATATTATATGTTCTTCCTATCTTATATCTCTTTGTATTGAAGTCCTTCGGTTTCTGAACGATGTAAAGTAAGCCTTCACTGCAACGTTCCGTATCGAATGAACCATATGTTATGAAGTTATATCCAACAACTGGGTCTAACCATAACAAAACTATTGGTATAAGACTTTTGTCGATGAGATATGCTGCAGTTCCATAGAATCTTACCGATATCATAAGCTCAGGATTTCTTGTCAAAATTTTCTGAGTAGAAGCAATTCTAACCCAGTCCTTTGTTTTCTTTCCAGATGGAAATATAATGTCTGACAAAGAATATTTGTTGTATTTCTTTGAGTATCTTACGTTTAAATCACCTATTCTAACCAATTTGGTGTCATTGTCTATCTTTCTAACTGTTTCAAACTCAATGTTTGACATATATGTCTTTACATACAAAATAAAAAAATAAATAAAAATAAAACTAACTTTATTTTTTCTATCTTAAGGAAATTCATGAATTTCATAGAGTTTTGGCGACTAAGTTTTTTTACTTACTCGCTGTTCTTCTCTCGGTTTTCCGAGGGAAGCAATCTTATGCCATTTTTTGACGAAGTGAAGATTTACACTTCGTCAAAAAAATCCCTGAAATCAAGAATTTTGTTGCTGAATTCAGCAAAAATAATGTTTAGGGTAGAAGGTTAGATCTAACCTCATTTCTAACCTCTTTTCTCACCTCATGAATTTTCATGATTTCATCGTATATGTTTTGTCAAGACTTCTTCGTACATGTTTTGTCAAAACTTCTTCGTAAATGTTTTGTCAAGACTTCTTCATCGTAATGAGCGTAAATCAGACAAAAATAATGTTTAGGGTAGAAGGTTAGATCTAACCTCATTTCTAACCTCTTTTCTCACCTCATGAATTTTCATGATTTCATCGTACATGTTTTGTCAAGACTTCTTCGTACATGTTTTGTCAAAACTTCTTCTTCGTAATGAGCGTAAATCAGACAAAAATAATGTTTAGGGTAGAAGGTTAGATCTAACCTCATTTCTAACCTCTTTTCTCACCTCATGAATTTTCATGATTTCATCGTATATGTTTTGTCAAGACTTCTTCGTAATGAGCGTAAATCAGACAAAAATAATGTTTAGGGTAGAAGGTTAGATCTAACCTGTTTTCTACCCTCATTTCTACCCCAGTTATTTTATAAGCGTTTCACATGGTAAACGTTATTTTTTAAATTTTGTGAAAACTCAACGGTTTGACACATGCCCTAAAAATTATTTTACTCAGAATTTTGTTGCTGAATTCAGCAAAAATAATGTTTAGGGTAGAAGGTTAGATCTAACCTGTTTTCTACCCTCATTTCTACCCCAGTTATTTTATAAACGTTTCACATGGTAAACGTTATGAATTCGTGAGACTCTAAACAGTTTCGTAGCTTCTATTTCTTCTTTTAGTACATCGAATGTTTTAACGATACCGAAAGTTTCTTTATACTTCTTCTTGACGTCAGATAGAAGGAAATCTTCTGCTGTTGGATAGTTTTTGTTCAGAAATTCTAACATGTCCATTTTATTTTCTACCGGCTTCTCTGCTTCTTTCTTTAAGTCTGCATAGTCGTTTCGCATACGTTCTATCTCTTTGACGGAGTAGTTATATTTCCTCATTGCTGCTTTACATTTAGAACATTGCGGGTTCATTTTTGCGTTATATTCTGAAACCTTACCTGCTAAAACAACTAAGGCGTCAATGGTTTTCTTTAACGCAAAAGCTGCTGGTTTTATCTGTTCATTCCATACTTTACCTCTTCTATCTTTATCTCTTATCTGCCATACACATTCTGCAACTAATGAAACAAAGTTGTCGTAGGTCTTAAACTCCCCGGATTTATATATGTCAGAAACATTCTTATATACCATGTCGCAATCTTTGTCCATAACCTTATGGTTGCAATGAAAACCAAGGAATTCATAATTTACCTTTCGTATGAACTTCTTTATTTCTACTGAGTCAGTTGGTTTCACTTCAATTTCGTCGAATTCAGGAATAGTGAGTTTTTGTTGCTGAATTTCAGGTAGTTTAGGCAAATGGTCAATAATGTCCTGCATTTCATAAAGATATTCTTCATTTGTTTCATCTTTCGCACTACAGTCTAAATTACTTGTTAAAAGTTCTTGCTTTATCTTCTGGATTTTTGTTTCGAAAGTATGTGAAGAAGGAATGAAGTTTTTCATTTCTACTAACATAGATGTTGGATTCATGACTAACAAGTTTGGTGCTGTAGTTGTTTGTATTGCTGTTGTGCCGATTGTTGAAATCATATCTTTTATACAAAATAAAAAAAATAAATAAAAATAAAGTTAGTTTTATTTTTTATTTCGGGAAAATTCATGAAAATTCATGAGGGTAGAAATGAGGGTAGAAATGAGGTTAGATCTAACATGTTAACATAAAATATATTTTTGTCTGATTTACGCTCATTACGATGAAGAAGTCTTGACAAAACATGTACGAAGAAGTTTTGACAAAACATGTACGATGAAATCATGAAAATTCAAGAGGTTAGAAAACGTGTTAGAAAACGTGTTAGATCTAACATGTTAACATAAAATATATTTTTGTCTGATTTACGCTCATTACGATGAAGAAGTCTTGACAAAGCATGTACGTTCATGTTTGACAAAACATTTACGTTCATGTTTGACAAAGCATGTACGTTCATGTTTGACAAATCATTTACGAAGAAGTCTTGACAAAACATGTACGTTCATGTTTGACAAAACATAAACGAAGAAGTTTTGACAAAACATGTACGAAGAAGTCTTGACAAAACATGTACGAAGAAGTTTTGACAAAACATTTACGATGAAATTCATGAAAATTCAAGAGGGTAGAAATGAGGGTAGAAAACAGGTTAGATCTAACCTTCTACCCTAAACATTCTCGTCAAATACAAAAAAATGAAAAAATGACACTTTTTCATTAGATAACTGTTATTTTTTGACGAAGTGAAGAGTAACACTTCGTCAAAAAAATCCCTGAAATCATATCTTTACATACAAAAAAATGAAGAATAAAACTAATTTTATTTTTTCTATCTTAAGGAAATTCATGAAAATTCAAGAGGTTAGAAATGAGGTTAGAAAACAGGTTAGATCTAACCTTCTACCCTAAATTATATTTTTTGGTCATTTACGCTCATTACGATGAAGTCTTGACAAAACATGTACGTTCATGTTTGACAAAACATGTACGAAGAAGTCTTGACAAAGCATGTACGTTCATGTTTGACAAAACATAAACGAAGAAGTTTTGACAAAACATTTACGATGAAATCATGAAAATTCATGAGGTGAGAAAACAGGTGAGAAAACAGGTGAGATCTCACCACTTCACCTAAAATATATTTTTGTCTGATTTACGCTCATTACGATGAAGAAGTCTTGACAAAACATTTACGAAGAAGTTTTGACAAAACATTTACGTTCATGTTTGACAAAACATATACGTTCATGTTTGACAAAACATGTACGTTCATGTTTGACAAAACATAAACGAAGAAGTTTTGACAAAACATGTACGATGAAATCATGAAAATTCATGAGGGTGAAAAAACAGGTGAAAAAACGTGTTAGATCTCACCTTCTACCCTAAACATTCTCGTCAAATACAAAAAAATGAAAAAAATGACACTTTTTCATTAGATAACTGTTATTTTTTGACGAAGTGAACATTAACACTTCGTCAAAAAAATCCCTGAAATCATATCTTTTATACAAAAAAATACAAAAAAAATGACACTTTTTCATTAGATAACTGTTATTTTTTGACGAAGTGAAGAGTAACACTTCGTCAAAAAAATCCCTGAAATCATATCTTTACATACAAAAAAATGAAGAATAAAACTAATTTTATTTTTTCTATCTTAAGGAAATTCATGAAAATTCAAGAGGTTAGAAATGAGGTTAGAAAACAGGTTAGATCTAACCTTCTACCCTAAACATTATTTTTGGTGTAAATTTCCTAAATTTACTGACTGACTGACTGACTGACGGCACAAAGTGGCATAACGAAAACATTAATATATAAAATTCATGAAAATTCAAGAGGTTAGAAATGAGGTTAGAAAACAGGTTAGATCTCACCACTTCACCTAAAATATATTTTTACTGAATTTAGCAACAAATGAACGGGTCAGGATGTATGTTGCTGAATTCATTCATAACACCCTTTGTAAGCTCATAAAATGCTTGTTTTGAGGTCGAGCCACATTTGGCTCCACCGTATTCTTTCAACCAAAACTCAAGAATTTCCCGCATGAATTTTGTATAAAACTAACTTTATTTTTTCTATCTTAAGGAAATTCATGAAAATTCAAGAGGGTAGAAATGAGGGTAGAAATGAGGTTAGATCTAACCTCTTCACCTAAATTATATTTTTTGGTCCGGGAACAACTTTCTCTCAATTGGAGCTGTAGCATACTCTTTGCGTAAGCGGTTCAGACCTTCTTCGAACTCTTGGTCTCTCTTCGATTTGGATTGAGATTGGAATTGCTGGGGTGGAGCTTGCTGGAAACATAAGGGTTGGGGAAGTAAGGCATAGGCTGAGGAGGGTAGTTCGGGAAGCCTTGTGGTGGGTAGTAACCTTGAGGTGGAAATTGGTAGTAATTCGGAGGTACTTGCTGGAACTGAGGTTGCTGAGGGGACTGTTATGGTTCTTTAGGTTCCTCTGGT